TTCTTTCTTTCTTTCTTTCTTTTTCTCTTCTCAAAACCCTTTGATCTTTTAAATTTCAATAGTAAAACATTAAAACAAAGTATAATTGATATATATAGCATATAATAAAATGTATTAACACATACATTAATAAGATACAGCAATATAAATGATATTATAAAAGGCGCCCGCCTTGTCATTTGTCTCCTAGGCAGGCACTCAATCGCCTAGGCGGGCGCCTAGTTGCTGAAAGTCAAGGCATTTGGGTGAGGCGCCTAGTCGCCTAGGCGACACCTTGACAACTATGATTTCATCAGACCCTAGAGTACAAGACTCACCTCTCACAATCATTAGAATATTTCAAAGTCAAGTTACAATGAAATTGGGATCAGTTTGGATTGATTTGAACAAGGGAAGCAAACTATTAAAACTTAAAACTGCTAAGTTTCTAGATTGTGGGATGAGATGCACCCCTTGAATGAGGGGACATCGCCCCAAAGCCTTTGGTTTGAACCAAGTATTTTCCGAAAAATTGGAGATGACCTCAAGTGTTACTGGGACCTCCCTTCTTTCTGGAAAATTGAGAAGCTCCCAATGAGTCACCCCCACTTTGCTAGAAGTCAACGCTGTGTATCATTGGAACAAACCCAGAAAATAAAGACAACCCCAAGTTGAGAAGGGAAATCCCCATCGTCAACAAATACTCAACGGTTAATTTTTTAAGCAGAAAAACTGCATTCAATGCTCTATTTTAAACGGGAAGAAATGCATTTAATGCTCTGATTCACGCTCCAACGGTCATCAGGTCTTTCTCTATAAATACCTTTATGATTTGCTGAAAAAGATTATGAAAAACAAAGGAAAAGGGAAATGGATTTGAATTTGAAATGAGTCTTTGAGCCCTACCTTTGCTCTGTTCCTTGTCTTTAAGTTGTATTTGCCTATTCAATACGTTTGGGATTCTTATTCCTGCCATTTGTAGATTGTATTTGAGATTTATGAAGTAAAAATCAAAGGTTGAACTACCTTTGTGGTGTGGATAGCGCTAGATCAACTAGATAGTTTACAAAAAAGTTCCTGTGAGAAAAATAGGGGGTGTATGGTGTGGCTAGCACTGAATCAACTACCTAGTGTATGTATGGTGTGGCTAGCACTGGATCAACTAGCTGATGCAAGTTTTGATTGAAAAGAGTGCCACAAATTCTAAGAGAGGACATAGACCTGGTGCGCGCATGTGTGTGTTCAGTCCACTTGCATTTATCACTTCTTATTTACTGAACACTGTGTTGTAAGTTTTTAGTATTCAATTGCAGTTGGTATCTATTTTATTACATTTACTCCAGTAGTGTATTGTAAGCATTAGGTTGCATTAATTTGCACAAAGCCACCTCATTTTACAAAAACCCAATTCACCCACACACCCACCCCCTGTTGGGTTGTATTTCTGGGCAACATGGGCTTCAGAAAATCCAATAACTCAGCAAACATCCTAAGCTTCTGCTCTAATAAAATTGTCTTTCCTACATATTCCTAAGCAAACATAGTGTTTCAATCTAGTTGTTCTTAAACATACAAGCATCTATGTAGACCCAAGTAACACAATAGGCATCCATAATAACTTTTCTTTGTTACAATGGATACTCCAAAAAAAGGTATCATACCAATGTCAAACATGTAGAACATCAAAATAAGCCAATGACTTGGCTAGTTCTCTTACCTTATAGGGTTTTTTAGGTCTAAGTTGGTGTGTGAATTTTCAGGCCTAGGATAAGGCTGTTTATACCATCCACAACCGAATGCTAGAGTTTCTTATATGCTTTCCATTAGTTGAACTCATTTAACATCATCGCTGAGCAAGAAATGGGAGAATGGAAGCAGGAAGAACAACAAACTAGGACTGTTGCTTACTTACAAGCACCTTATAAGTATCAACAAATGGAAGGTGTTTGAATCCTTCTACTTTCAAGTACTTTTAGTATGGCTGTTCTCAGTTCTTGTTTAATCAGGCAAGGTGAATATGATTATGCATAACCATCAGATGGTTGCATAACCCTAGACATTCAGATATGTTCCCAAAGGATACATGAGTTCAAAGGGGAATGCAAACTAGGACTGTTGCTTACAAACGCCTTATAAGTATCAACTAATGGAAGGTGTTTGAATCATTCTGCTTTCAAGTACTTTTAGTATGGCTCTTCTCAGTTCTTGTTTAATCAGGCAAGGTGAATACGATTATGCATAACCATCAGATGGTTGCATAACCCTTGTTCCTAAAGGATACAAGAAGCTCAAAGGGGAATTCAAGATCAAGTGCACTGTGTGTATGAGGGGGGGTGTGAGAGAGACAGACAGAGAGAGAGAGAGAGAGAGAGAGAGTAAGACTGTGAGAGAGACTAGATTTAATTAAAAAGTGACGATAACATCTGGTGTGGTCATGGTATAATGAGTTAAAGTTCAGAAACGATGGGTATTTGACTATCTGTCTCCACAGTGCAGACAAATCAAAATCAATCCAATATGTGCTATGTATTTGTGCAATCAGCCATTTCATAGCATATATATGAAGAACAATATATAATTCCTTTGTGTCACACATACAAAAAAAAGGTATAGGAAGAGAGATGAAAGAAACACTTGCCTATATTGTCTGCATGCTACAAATGGAAAATATCCAGCAACCATAATACCCTGCAGCCAAAATAAACTTGGTTAGGTAAACCATCATATTTATAAGGCACATGAAATTTATCAAAAAAAAAAGTGAATTTTTCAAATTTCAAACGAATCTCAAATAGAATTGAAGTATTGAACATCAGAGGATATATTCCTTTTCCTTTTTCACCATCAAACTCCAGAAGCTGGTATAAATTTTTGGTACATAAATTGCAACTCAAGATTATATTATCCTATAAAGTATCAATGCACATAATAAAACCGGCTGTGAGTGTACAGTGAATTCATCAAATTTCAAATGAGCCCCGAATGGAATCAAGAGCCAGGATTTTTTTTTCTTTTTTATCACCAAAAATCAGGACAATCTAATGGGATCTTTTGCTACGATCAAAAATACGTTGCAACTCAAAAATGTTTCACCCAATAAAATACGGATGATCAATTCTGGATCATCTGCAACAAATTGATAAAACAGCTATAACAAAATACGATACACCTTTTAGTAAAAGTACCATTAATTATTAGAAAAATGCTGACTTCATATTTGTCCATTGGGTTGGGTACTGAAAATGCATTTCGGTAACAAAATACCAATCCCCTTTTTTTCCGCATTGCACTAATTAACCATTAAACCAACCCTTAAAATTAAACATTCTTTCCCAAAATAAATTACTCTAGCCTTTACGTTTGAAATGAATATTAGAAAACCTGAAAACCACTCTTGAGGAACTCCCCTCTACCAATGGTTCATAGGCTCTTCTAAGACATAAAAAAAAATGCGATCTTTCGAGATGCAAAGCCGTTATAGTGACGATTTGCGAATTAGATCATAACCCCAGTTTGAGTGGGCTATACATGGCTAAAAAAGGAGCAGAAGCGGAAGCGGATTACTTTAGTGAGGTAAAGAACTCCTGGAGGGAGGAGAGAGAGAGAGAGAGATGCTTACCCGAAATTTAGGGTTTCGTTTCAGGTAGCTAGATAACGTCACTGTTTCTCACTATTTGAATCTTCCGCGTTCTAAAGCATAGTTGCAGCACATCCGGAATTCCTCAGTTGCCGTGGACAAAGGGGAAGCAGCAAAGTGGGGAGAAGTTTAGAGGAAAAGAAGGCAGAGGGCCAGAAGGGAGGAGTCAAGAGAGGGAATCTGAAAAAGGGATTTGGCGTGGTTTCGTTCCCAGCTTTAATAATTGCTGATTATCTCCATATCTTCTTTCCATGTGCCAGTAGCAATTCTTGTTTTATTGTGGGGGTTACAGTACACTGTACACCCCATAGTTTCAAACATGCCAATTGGCATGATTGTTGTGATTTTTATACGTTACATATACTTGATACGAATGTATATGAACTAAGGGCCCGTTTGGAGAAATGATCTGAAAATTCAGTTATTTAGCTGCTTTCAAACGCTCCGGATAAACTATTCTTCGAAGAGGCTGAAGTGGACAGACATTCAAGAGCCCGTTTGGGACAGCTTCTGCTTTGGAGCCTTGAAGGTGAGTTGCATTGATTGACGTGGTTGGTAAGCACCTGTGTTCCAGACCAGAGTAGCAGCTTACGGTCCTGTTTGACAGCTGATTTGGAGTTTTACCAAACAATACTTTTATGAATTCTGTGTGGGGGACCAGCTTGGAATGTGAGGGAAGTTGCGTCCAAAGCCCTCCCAAACGGTCAGTCGGTCACCAAATGATTGATTGACAGATGATTCGGGTTTTTTCGGATTTTTCCAATTGTGAAGACCATCTCCAAACGCCCCCTCGTTCAGCCCTCCCTGTCCCAAATGAATGTGAATGAGAGGAGTCGGGTCCAAATCAGTCCCACACCAATTATTAAGCATTGGATAAATTTCTTAAACTACTATTAGGCTCAGTTTGGAAGCAGTACAAATGTAAATATGTACAATGTAAATACATACAAAATAATGTAAAATATAAAGTTTTGCACTCTACATATTTGTATTTGTATTCAATCTTATGGGTTAGCTAATTGGGTAAGTGTACCTTTAATATTTGAAATTTGACTAATGTTAATCCTAATGTTTCTAACAATTAACAAAAGCGGTGTTCGGCAAGGTTCAAAGTATCAATACGTATACGTATCGGCTGATACGTATCGTTTCGGGACCACTCCGATATGCCCCTATAGTTAGGGCTGCAAGTCGAGTCGGGTTAGGTCAGGTTAAGGCCAACCCTAGTTCAACCCTAAGTTTTAAACCCCAACCCTAACCCTAACCCAACCCGACCAATCCAATCCTAACCCTAACCCTAACTAAATTCCTTCAACCCTAACCCAACCCAACCCAACCCGAAGTCAATTTTGGATTGGGTTGGGCTCAACTCAACCTTCTTCACATCCTTTAAAATCTCATAGAATTTCTCAATTTTAGATCTTAACTCAACTTTCACTACATATATTAATCCTATGTTTCATTAGTATTTGTTTGTTGACGTTATTTTTTCTTTTTTTGTTCTTTTAGTACAAAATTCAGAAAAACAAGTGTTAGAAATGACTATAATTTATTATGAGTTATGACTTACGATAGATCTTTCTTGGGCGGCAAACAACAGAGAGGAGATGAAGAATAAAATTTTTAAAAAACATAAAATAATGTTATTAAGGTTTTAGTCTTTCTGATTAGGATAAAGTGAAGTGATTATCTTAAAAGAAATACATGATACTATGTGGTGGGGGCTATACAAATATAATGCATCTAAACAAATCAATGTATATTATATATTACATATAACATATATTTATATATGACATGTACTATAGAGTCAAGTTTTGGTTGCGTCGGGTTGGCTAAGGGGTCAACCCTAACCCAACCCAAAGTAAAGTTGGGTTCATGAATTTCAACCCTAACTCGAACATTAACCCGACCCAATCCAACCCAACTTTTCGGGTTGGGTTAGGGTTAGGTTTGGGCCAACCCGGCCCAAGTTGCAGCCTTACCTATAGTGGGTGTATCGGGGGTCTGACCGGTTCAAGGGGTGGAGGAGCCCTAAACCGGCCCCCTGAACCGGTTTCAGAAAAAAATAAAAAAAAAACAATATCAATTCGCCCGATACGCCCCTACCGGCATGACGAGCGTATCGATATTTTGAACCTTGGTGTTCGGTACCATGTTCATCTCCCGTCCACAGGATGAATACTCGTCCGATTGGGTGTGGACGGTCCTCACCACAATATAGCGTGGATAGGTCCCGTCCACACCCCAATATATTGTCAACGGGAAAAACTCGTGGATATGTCCCGTCCATGGTTTATTTTTTATCCCATGCTTCAAGGAGTAGGGTCAAATGCCATGTGATGTAAGACAAACAGTAGATACACCTTCGGTTTTATCTCTGAAATTCTTGTAGTTGCATTTCGGCTGTATGATCTAAAATATTAATTGTTTTATTTAATTTTTTAATTTTTATAAGTTCTAATGTTTGTATCAATAAAATAATAATTTTAAATATTTAAAATATATTTTTTAATTTTTTAATTATTTTACTATTGTTTTATAAAAAATTAATATTTATTGCAAGGTTTTTAAACCTGACCCCGAGAATGAACCGGTCAGGGGTCTGGTTCTCGGGTCAAATGGTCAACCCATTCTGACAAAAAATAAAAAATGGTTAAAACCATTGAATGGTTTAACCACCCGGGTCAATGGTTTGCTGACAAAATCAATGTTTTTTTTTTTTTGCAAATTTCTAATTTTGGAGAAAAACGGAACCAATCACCTAACCGGTTCCCAGTTTTCCAATCGAACCGCCCAGTCCGGTTTAGTTTTAAAAACCATGATTTATTGGTTAACATTAATTCATTGATGCATTTTTTAAAATATTTATCATATAAAAATACAAAAATTAGATATTTGTGATTAACTGTGTATATCATTCATAAAATGTATATGAGATACATGGGATCAAAAAAGTGTGGCGTGGACTGGTCCACACCACGCTATAGAACACCACTGTGGGTGTGGACTGATCCAATCCACACAATTTGTCCACAGTTCAGAACAGTTGTGGACTGTGGTGTGGTGTGGATTGGTCCCTACCACACGGTGTGGTGTGAACCAGTCCACACCCACCAATTTGTCATCCACACTACAGAACACCCCCTAATAATTCACTTACTGCTAATATTCCGTCATAAACCATTCAAATGTGTATCACGTGACTATTATAACTTAAAAAAATACCCAACTTACCCTTATTATAACTTCCAACACTGGCACCGGCTCTAACGGAATATCTCATTGTCCCCTCTGGCACCGTCTCTGACGAAATATCTCAGTCGACATGAAAAATAAGATTGATCACAAGTTTACCATTTGCTTTGGCACATTCTATTGCAATATCCAATGCTGATTTCCAAAATCCCACCACTGTAACACACTTTCCTTTGATAACTCAGTTGTAGTAGCATCATCGATGGCTTTGTAGTCCATTGCATGTATTACCTTGCCATTGAATACCTCTGGTCCCTTGTTTTCTGGGAATACTGGAATATTTGGGAGGTTGTTGTAGTGTCCAATGCAAAGAATCACAAATTCCACTTCGTAAACCTATTTTTTGTTTAACCCCTCTCTGTGTCTATGGGAGATCAATAGAGAGTACCATTTTTTATCATACCTGAGTGGTTCTATGTTGGCCTCTTGAACGATGATGTTTCACTTGCCTCTAGGACCAAAGGCCTCTCTAGTGCCACCCCAAAGACTCCAAGAGAGAATCACATCATTAGAAGCTCCCTCGTAGTCGATGCCGACGATTCTGTTCAAGTGGAGCTTCTGGGTTTGAAAGGTTAGGGTTTTAATGAACCAACATCTTTTTCCCTTTTGAAATTTTTGAAAAAGAATAAAGGGTAAAATAGTCTTTTTTGTCTTTCTGTTAACAGACGCTAACGGTAAAGGAAGTATTAGTCAATTGTTAGAAATAGTAGGGGTAGCGTTAGTCAATTTTCAAATAGTAAGGGTACACTTAGTCAATTAGCTAAATCATAAGGGTAGTTTAAGAAATTTACCCTTAAACATTTTTAACTAATAAATTATTTATATGTTAATAAATTAAATATTTTTAACTAATATTATCTTACATATTATTTATCAAATATACCATTTCAAGCACAAAATATGATAGAAATTATAAGAAAATCTTATATATTTAATAAAATAATTGTTCTATGTCTAAATTAGTTCAGGACATACCAGAACCAGAGCTAACCCAATTATTAATCATGACAAAATCATGGAACCAAAACCATTATAATCGGTTCAAGTCCATTTGGATCCATCGAGTAGATCTGACCCATTGATAGCCCTAAGTAGTCATGGTGAAGTAAAGAGTCTCCCACCACAAGCTTCACACAATGTCTCCCTTATTCTCCTCTTTCACACTTGTGGAAAATTAAAACTAAAGAGATTACTAAAATGAAAAAAAAAGACTTTCAAATCCCAAATATATATCTATATATTAAAACAAGGTTATCTAGGCATAGCTCTTTTTTTTTCTTTTTTCTAAATGTTGAAAACTCCAACCGTTTCAACGACCACAATGGTCTCAAGTGCTCATAAAACAAAATTTACTAATATGTGGTAATCTTGGACATCACAAATCAAAGAGAAGTTGTATTGGTCTTTGTGATTTTTAACAAACTCGTAACTTAAAAAAATTTTAACCAAAGTTATTTTATTGGCAATTTCTCATCGAAGTCTTCTCATAGAAAGGTATTATGGTAATATCTCCAACAAATACAAATTAAGTAAGAAACTATAAGAGGTATAGTAGTTGGTTGAGATTGAAATGAAAATCAACTTTTTGAGTTTCTAATGTCAAAGTCAAATATCACAAATAATATTGTATACAAGCCATAATAAGCAAGATATTTGTGGTCTTACCTTTCACTCTAATATACTCTCTTGGTGTAAAATTCCAATAAAAAAAACTTTTAATGTTTGCTAAGATAGATAAAATGGATGGTCAAACATAAATTGAATGATTAATTTACGTTATAGTATATAGGACCATATAATATTTGCTCTTATAATAATTAATAATTATGATAATAAATAGTAATTACTAAAATTAATAATTTTTATTTTATTTTGCCCATTTTTTTATTTTACGTCCTTCTATGATGTTATGGCTTCATGCCGAACGCCATAAAAGTTATTTGACTTTTGACACAAAATGAATTGTGCACACCACATTTGGGCA